ATAATTATTATTACATATACATATATATATATATATATATATATATATATAATTATATATATGGGCTGTGATGCGGGCCATGCTTGGCCGTGTTGCGGTTCATGCCATGTTGGGCTGTGGGGCCCATGCCAAGACACTTGCCTTGTCGTTCCGTTCTGTTTCAACATGTGGGCCTGAAAACCCAAGCCCAGAATAACCCATACCTCTATGTCGTTCTTGACATGATTTACAACTCTTCGTGAAGTATTTATGTTCCCTAGTCTCCTTGTATTCCTTGGCAATCTTCTCCCTCAATGTATTGAAGCTCTCCAACTTCTTCCTTAGGAGATTCCTAGGAGATGCCAGTGGAGTACTTGTATTATACTTATTTGAGATTGTTTTTGATCTCAAAGAACTATACTCCGGTAGAAGAGCCAGTGGTGGTGATGTATAAATGGGAACCGTGGGAGCCAACCTAAATAAGTTTTTGAAGTTGTGGAAGGGAAGTGTTATCGATTTTCAATGGAGAATAGAGGAAAGCTTTACATCAATGAAATCGATGTAAACTTTCCATTGATTTTCGATGTAAAAGTTGACATGTTTATAACTTTGCATCGATTGGCAAAGTTAATTTACATCTCTACCAAATGTCTACAAAGTCAAACCAGAGTGCAACATAAAACCAATTATATATATCCGATTATATCATATCAGATATGGGTGGTTGATTCCTATTTGATATAACCAAATTCAGATCATCCTTAATGGGATTGAATTCAGATTTGGATTTGAACAATCACATACCATTTGTAGCCCTAGGCTAAAAGTGTCACAAACTCCTAAATATGATACTTGTAATTTATAAAATAAAAAGATTCACATTTCATTCATTCTTGATTTATTTCCCTTTTCATTTATCTATCCCCTCTCTCACAATCTTTGTTCACATCTTGATTCCCGATTGTTATGCCTATCAGCATCAAACTTTATTTTTTGGTAATGGGCTACATAACAAAGTATCCCTCCCCCAAATCCTTAAACCCCAACTTTGGTGAAAGTGGAATTTGATTCCAAATCTCTATTATAACTAGCTAAAGAGTTTTTTCTTGGAAGAGATCCAAGCTCCTAAAATGCTCCTACCGGTACACAAAACTTAGTACACAACGCATGAGCCTTCCACATTTTCCCCCATTATAAACCTACCGGTACACAAGAGGAGATCCAAGCTCATTAAAATACTCCTAACAGTACACAAAACTTAATATACACATGGTGCATATGTGCCTTTCACATTTTCTCCCATTCAAAGTCCATCTTTTTACACTCAAATAATATGTTCCCTCCCCTACCCACTCCCCCTCCTTGAAAAGAAACCCTAAGTGTTATACAAGGTGCAATCATAATAAGCGTATAGAGCTAACCTCCTCCCCTAAAACAAACATTACAAAGGAAATTGTCTCATTTACCTAAATAAGTTTTTTAATAAAAGAATATGGATAAATACATTTATCGGAGGAAATATTACTTGGATAATCATGGCTTCATTCATTTTGTGTTAACCGGGTAACACATTTCCTTGGACAAGTGATTCTTAAGGAAATATTCTTCAAATACTCACAAATACAACGTTTGGCCTAGCAGGTGCAAGAATCCATGTAATTTGAGTTTGGGAAACTTATAGTCCGAGCCGGCTCAACATTTAAAATTAGGCTACAAGTTGGTTTAGAAACCAACAAAAGTCTAACAATCAGCTCTACATTTCAAATTATAAAAACCTCTGCCATGTCATTGGATGCTTATGTGGTTGTTGCCAACATAAGACTCTTAGTCCATGTTAGACACAGTAAAAAGCCTATACCAAAATTATCCTTAATGTTGGGTGATTTGAAAATAAATAGAAAGATTTTTCAATTTCTCTCATGCTCCCTTTATCTCTCGATCTCCCTCCCACTCTCTTACTCTCATAGTTGTCTTTCTCTGCTCAATGACTATGTAATTTGAAAATAACAAAAATGGTTTTCGGTTTCTATATTTACATTTTCTCTATAAATCTCTCATATTCTCCCCCCCCCCTCTCTCTCTCCATGCCAATCTATCGTTCTCCCTCAATCTTTCTCGTTCAATTTCTCCTTCTTCCTCATTCTCTCTCTCTCTCTCATTCCTTTTTATTTTTCTTACACACATATGATATTAATTAGACCATACATATAAAAGAACATAAAACCAACTTGGTATGGTTCTAAAATCATTACACCAATTTAATAAAAATTCACAAAAAACTCTTGGCTACAAAATTTACACCAACTTGATGAAAATGTATAACTTGATTGTACAAGTAGTTGGTCCTTTGAGGGAGAATGAGAGAGAGAGAGAGAGAGAGAGAGAGAGATCAATTGAGAGAGATTGAGGGAGAATGATAGATTGACAGAGATAATGTACATATAGAAATGGAAAACTATTTTTGTTTATCATCAAATCACATAGTCATTGATCAACGAGAGGCAACAATGAGAATGAGAGGGGGAGGGAGATCGAGAGACAGAGTGGGAGAAAAACTAAAAATCCTTTTTGTTTATTTTCAAATCACTCAACATTAAGGGCAATCTCGGTATAGGCTTTTAATTTGTTGTGTCTAACATGAATTAAGAGTCCCATGTCGGCAACATCTACATAACACTCCGAGTTTTAATTTTGTTGGTTTCTAAACTAACCTGCAGCCTAATTTTAAATGTTAGTCACCTCATATTATATTTAAGAGTAAAAGACTTAAACCTCCCCTGAAAATTCTCCCAAATACTAAAGCGTCCCCCCTCTTTTTAAAAAAGACTAGGACCTCCCCTATTAAAGTTAGTTCAAAGTTTTAATGACTTCGAATCCCCTACCCACAAAAACTCTACCCACACCTACCCACAAAGTATGAAAGCACTACCTACGTGCATTGGAAACATCTTTCCATGCAAAATAACATGTAAGAGTATGAGATGTTCCCCATATGTGACTGCAATCTCATGTGGGTAGGTGTGGGTAGAGTTGCTATGGGTAGGAGATCCGGACTCAGTTCTAAGCATGGTTTTAAAAAACGACCTAGAAACGGAACCGTTATGGCCACCAATTTTTGGGTTGATGGTTCGACCGTCCAATTCGAACGAATGACCCGTTATGACAAAAAATTAAAAAATAAAAAAACGTTGAATGGGTCGATAGGTTGACGGTTCGACCGCCCGGGTCAACGGGTCGTTGAATAATTCAACGTTTTTTTGATAGGGACCGGATTTGGGATTTGGGGTAAAATGGAGCCAATTGCCTGGATGGTTCCTAGGCTGAATGGTCTGACCATCTGAGTCAACGGTGGTTCGAAAACCATGGTTCTAAGGAGTCATCAAAAGGACTCTTTTTAACCTTGTATTTTTTCAAAATTTCAAAACATTGGAATAGTTTCTTGTACATTTTGTTATCTTCTATGTTTGCCTACGCTCTATCAAATTCAAGTTTTCTTGTCAATTTACTGGTTTGTTCCATTATCGACGTGTCTAGTCTCCACCACTCCCTAACAGAATCTCCACGTCTCCGCTCCACATTGTGGGTTCTGTCTCTGATTATTCAAGTTTCTTCTCAAAAACTCTATAAAGTAAACCAACCTTTTCAAAAACATGGCTAGCTGCAAATCAAAACTCTTCTGCCTTTCCTACTTTATTCTATTTGTATATGGTTCTTCATCTCCCGTGTTCTTCCTTTTATCTCTCATAGACGTCTCTTTATCTACTAATGTATTGAAGGATGCAACATTCCAGATCAACCTCTTACCCTTATTTCTACTGCAATATTTATGACTACGATTAGGTTCTTGTTTGCTCATCTCTTTCAACTACCTTCAAGTTTTTGGCATCGATTAATCAATACCTCAAAAACCACCAGTGGACCCACCCCTCCTTCATCGCTCTATGATGTTGCAAGTTTTCTGCCAATTTCTTTCATTCACTGTATCAGTAGTTGTTACAGCAAATGGTTTAATGTTTGCTGGATAATTTTCTGTTCAGCTGCTAGAAGTGTTTGGGCATGGTTGATCAATACTTCAATACCTTAGAAACCAGTCGAATTTTTACCCAACACCCAAACCTTAAAACCTCCCCTCACTGATTGCTGACCAAGGGGAGGTTTTTTAGTATTTAGGAGAAGAGGGAGGGAGATTTAAGTCTTTTGCCCTATAATTTTGTTTTTATTGTAGTTCGAATATATATATATATATATATATATATATACATATATATTATTAAAAACTCCATAAAGTCTATCCACTTATCCCACGAACAGAACACGAACGAGGTTCAGGTTATAGTGACTGGATCTGCTTCTCACAAATGAGAGCCTCTCACAGCCACAGGTATATCTATCATGCATTGGAAACATGTCTCATGAATAATAATTAATAAATACAGAAATGTTCTCGATGCATCATACGATGTGCGTGTGAGGCGCCAATTGTGAGGAGCAGATCCGGTTTCCTTTAACCTCCAGTCGTACACGTGTATAACACGTGTTATTGCACTAGGAATTAGGAAAGAAAAAGTGGGTCGCATTTTGGAATTGGATGAATACATGCATGCATACATCATAGGAAAATCTGGAGCGGTGCGCACAAGCATAATATGACATTGACGAACTGTACCGAATAAGTCATTTCTTTTATGTGCGAGTTCGACCTATCATTATCACTTATCAGGGTCCCACTCCAAATGAGAGCGATGTCCATATACCATATTCAGACTCGTGCTCGTGGATCATCCGAAACCGAAAGTATCGCCATCATTGATATCCAGGTCGAGTCAAACAATCTAATGGCCCAGATGGCCACATTTTGGGTTGATTTACGGCATCGACCCTCGAGAGAAACCAAAGACATGTCTCCATTCAAAAACAAGAGGCGAAGAAATTCTAGCGGCGAATAGCCGCCGATTATCTCTCTAGAACCTTCATCGGACGGCCACGTGCTCCCCAATTTTCCTACAAATATACCAGGGTTCTCCTTTCACACTTCACAGTGTTCGTTCGTTCTGAGATTTCTTTCCCAAGAGCATTGCTTTCTCTTCCTCTGTTCTCTATCTTTCGGGGTTAGATCTAGTCAGTTATGGCAACAATCAAGTGCGTCAAGGCGAGACAGATCTTCGACAGCCGTGGCAATCCCACTGTCGAGGTTCGATCAGATCTCCCCATCTCCTCTCCCTTGTGTTTGCTTCTCAATTTTTTCTTAGTTTTTCTTTCACTTTTGAATCTCGATCTCTGTAATCTTCCCATGTTAGTGGTTACAGCGTGACTTCGTTGCAGAAGCCACGAGTTTTTTGTTTTTTGTTTTTTTGTAATTTCTGAGAGTTATAAACCGGTTGGGAGTGACTGAAAAATCAAATCCTCCTGAAAACAAGTCCGATGAGTGATGCTTTAGTTTAGTTATGATTTATGAATATAACGATAAAGTACTTATATATGAAAACTCACTAACATGGCGTTAATCTGAGTCTCGATCTCTATAATCTTTTTGTGAGCCAAGGAGATGCCCCAGCCCCCGGCTGTTACTTGCAGTGTGGCTTATGTATAATCAAATCCTCCTGAAAACGAGTCAATTGTTCGTAAGGAAGGACGATTTAGTTCACTTAAGAAAATATATAAGAAAAACTCAGTTACAGGGCTTTAACTCTCAGTTTGAGAGTGCATGCAGAAAAGCTCTACCTTTTCAGTTTTTCCTCTCTGTATTTTTGGGTCCCTTTTATTTTTCTATTTGGTCTTATTTGAATTTTATTTGCAGGCCGATGTTATATTATCAGATGGTACCATGGCAAGAGCTGCAGTTCCTAGCGGTGCATCCACTGGTGAGATTTTCGGTTCCTTTGCCTAAAGACTAAAGTTTCTATCTTTTTTTTTTCAGTTTTCTTTTTCATCGTCAATCGTATCTAGATAATTGATACATTTGTCTATTCAGAGAATTTTCAGCTTCCTTGCCTAAAGATTTCTAGATTTGTTCCTTCTATTCATTGTTAATCATATCTAGATATGATTCATTTGTCTATTCAGAGATTGAAAACCTTACCTATTATTATTTTGATTGTTTTCTCAATTGGGAGCTGTGGATCATGATCTCTGGTCAGTTTAAGAAAAATGATACGATGAATTCTGGTTAGTTAAGAAAAATGTGCATCACCTAATGTTTCCCCATTTCAACCATATCTACCAGCATTGGCGTTCGCCGAACTTGAATTTTTTGTCATCTATATTCTTTATTAGGTACTTTTGGGAGTGGGATTAGAACCTTGTTTGTTCTGTTTTTAACTTTTTATGATCAAATCAACGCCCCCTTGCAGATCTTATTGATTTCATAACATGGTGTGTGGGAATATAACCACTCTTACAATCCCAGAAACTTGTTCTGGCATCTGTTAGCTATTGTTCCAAATGCCAATATGTATTTTCTCATAACAAAAACAACCACATCGGCAACTAGTGGCACATGTTGTATATGGCTACTTGAGAATTTTTCTTGGGTTTTGTTTACCAGGCGACAAGAGATGACTGATTCTATCACTTGTTTATTTTCAGGTATTTATGAAGCACTTGAACTACGAGATGGAGGTTCTGACTACCTCGGAAAAGGTGTTTTAAAGGTCAGTTCTTTTGCTACTTTGTTCCTTAGAGATTTGATAGAATTAACTTTAACCATTTCACTGAAAATGGTAAATCAGTTATTTTGGTTTCTTACTTTGGAGGTCTGAAAGTTCTCCATGTGTAATTCAAGTTAGTATTTGTTCAATGTTTTTTTTTTTAATTTTCGAAAAAAATTGTGGAACACATCATCAATTCCTAGGATTATTTTCTCAAAATCAAGCACTGTTTGCTGACATAAATTCTTTGTAAATGTAGGCTGTTGAGAATGTCAACACAATCATTGCACCTGCATTGGTTGGCAAGGTTTGTTACAATTATTTAATCTCTTTCAAAAGGCTAGTTTTATTACTATCTATAACGAACAAATTCAGACTGGAACAAATTTCCATTTCTGAAGAAGGGAAGGTCACATAACGAATGAAAACGTGGCCAATTTTATGCTCAGTTAAGTTTGCTTTCTGCCAAGCCAGTGACTGCTTCACCTTTCACTCCTCTCCCAAGATAAATAAAAGCCCCCTTCCCAATCCCAGAAAAAAAAAAAAACAAAACAAAAAAGCAAGAAAGGATAAGAGACACTTGGAGCCTAACCAAGCTGCACTTGTTTAAGCTTATTATAAGTTAAAAGGGCACAGTTGTGTGCATTTCACTGTTTGAGAATTGAAACAGTTTTGCTTTTACAAGTCGCATTTGGAATTTTCTTGGGATTCTCCCTCCTTAATTGCTCTCTTTTTGTTCTACACAGGACCCAACGGAACAGGTTAGCGTTGATAACTACATGGTACAACAACTTGATGGAACCGTAAATGAATGGGGATGGTGCAAGCAGAAGGTATTTAACTCAAATTCCCATTATTAACTTTTTTTTTTTAATCTTGGTTAAAGCATTACCATTCACATTTCTGTTTATTATGTTTCCAGCTTGGAGCAAATGCCATTCTCGCAGTGTCTCTTGCTGTTTGCAAGGCAGGGGCTAGTGTTAATAAGATCCCCCTCTACAAGGTATAACCTTGTTAATTTTGTCATCACTTGATCCATTACTTTTCTTCATCTATTGCCGAGGTAGCCTGATCCTACTAATCAAACTAACTAGACTAACAATTTATGAGAAAATATTCATTGTCAAGGTTGTCAATTAATATACCATTGCTCAATTAGTAGGGTCTAGGTCCAACTTCTTGGACCAGTGGATCACTTAAGTATTCAAATTTTGCCAGATTAGGAATTGTGTACCCCATAATTAGCAAACTACCACCCATCTCATTTTTTCCAACTTGTTTAGTTAGTATAAGTACTTTTGCTAGAAGTTAAGGTTATCTGCGTTCCTTTCTATTTTGTTTGCATGAGTCCAAATTTTAGTTCTTTTTACTAGAAGTTAAGGTTAACGATTTAATAGATACCCAGTGGGGTATTGACAATTTAGTGAAAGGTCACGAAATCCCTGTACCTGGATCAGGAGTTTATAATGGGTCTGTATATGGATGTAGAAGGACCCCGACTCGAGAGGTGACCTTTTCTCAGATTCGACGACTTTTTTATTTTTGGCAACCAATTCCTCAAAATCTCTAGCAACTTCCCCCTCCAAAAAAGGAAGCAACACTATCTAATATTTGCTCATGATTCTAATGATTCTATGTGCTTGGTGATGCAGCACATTGCCAACCTTGCTGGTAACAAGAAATTGGTCCTTCCAGTTCCTGCTTTCAATGTCATTAATGGAGGATCACATGCAGGAAATAAACTCGCAATGCAGGCAATGCTTCTCTATCCTTTTTTATCCATTTCACAGTAGGCACGCACCCTATCTGCCTCCTCTGGTTTCTGATTGGCTTTTAATTGCAGGAATTCATGATCCTACCTGTGGGTGCTTCTTCATTCAAAGAAGCAATGAAGATGGGTGCAGAAGTATATCACCATTTGAAGGTATATATCCTACCAAATGCTGTTTTGTTAATTAGACAATTTAATCAATACAATAATCATTCTATGGTTTCATTGTTTGGTTGCTAAAGATTACTAATCACAACTCTTCATATGTTGAGATGCATTCTGAAAACATGATAAGAATTTTGGCAGCGGAATTTTCACATTGAGTTGTAAAAGCATGCATCTAGGAGGGTGGGGGTGATAAGGTCCACTTTTTTAGATTGTAAGCAGATAACCTAGGCTAAGTTATTCTTAATCAGGTTTCTTATTACTCGAATATATGGGGGTTCCTTTTTTGATGCCTTTACTGGATGCATCAGATTTGCCTAGCTCTAATTTTTTTAGATAAATGCCAAAAAAACTTGACAAGTATGTTAAACACTTGATTTTAATAATTTTTGTTCCTTCAAAACCCCAGTAGGGGTGATGCCTTTTATACGACAAACCTGTTTCTATGTTCAATTATTTATCAGTGCCCTTGAATAACGACTACAGGGACAGGTTTCTCTTACCATCTCTTCTAGACAAATTGAAGAATTTGATAATTTAGGGCTTTGATAACTGGATTTCTGCACTTGGTTTGTATGCTAATTACTCCATCTTCTCCAGGCTGTGATAAAGAAGAAGTATGGTCAGGATGCAACAAATGTTGGTGATGAAGGAGGCTTTGCTCCCAACATTCAGGTTTGCCATGGTTTCATTAAGTTGTTATTGTCAATTTAGCCATGCAGTTTTGTACTTTTTCTTTTTCCATTTCTCATTCGCCCTTGCTCATTTATTTACTCTGATTTTGCTTTTTCAGGAGAACAAGGAAGGACTTGAGTTGCTCAAGACAGCCATTGCTAAAGCTGGTTACACAGGCCGAGTATGTCCCTTTCTACTATGGTTTTATCGCAGGTGTAGCAAGATATACTTGAGGCTGTAATTGATGCAGCTGTCTAAGAAAATCTCTTTCTTTTCCTTCAGGTTGTCATTGGTATGGATGTTGCTGCTTCTGAATTTTATGGGTCCTCAGACAAAACCTATGACCTGAACTTCAAGGAGGAGGTACTCTCTCTCTCTCTCTCTCTCTCTCTCTTGTTTTGTGTGTGTGTGATTTTCCTTGGTGTTAACCATTTGAGTTGGTACAGAACAATGATGGCTCACAAAAGATCTCGGGAGATGCCCTTAAGGATGTCTACAAATCATTTTCCTCTGAATACCCAATTGTATCCATTGAAGATCCATTTGACCAAGATGACTGGACTCATTACAACAAACTTACAAGTGAAATTGGTGAAAAAGTACAGATTGTAGGAGATGATCTTTTGGTTACCAATCCGAAGGTTTGTATCCACAATTTGGTCTGTGGTGATCATATGTTCAATCGTCAAGATAACAAGGAAAAAAGGAATGCTTTTACTGCACCGGTTTCCCTTGGCTTTATGCAATTTTTTATCCCTGTGTACTTGTTTTATGCTTGCAGAGGGTTGAGAAGGCAATCAATGAGAAAGCATGCAATGCTCTTCTTCTTAAGGTACCATTCATTGCTTTGTGTTTTTCATGAGATCTCGTTTGGGTTTGGGAGGTTCTTACGTCTTAACTTGAATCATAAGCCAAACGTGTAACATCCTATGCACCTGTGTGGCAACAGGTTAACCAAATTGGTTCTGTGACTGAGAGCATTGAAGCTGTTAAGATGGCAAAGCGTGCTGGATGGGGTGTCATGGCCAGCCACCGCAGGTTTCACTTTCAACCTTGTTTGATTATGAAAAATTTATCCTTCTGGTTTAATTTCAGTAGGATGACTGATCTCTCTGTTGTGTTTATATGTTGTTGCAGTGGAGAGACAGAGGACACCTTCATTGCTGATCTCTCTGTTGGTCTCGCCACGGGCCAAATTAAGACAGGAGCTCCATGCAGGTCAGAACGTCTTGCGAAATACAATCAGCTGTTGCGAATTGAGGAGGAGCTTGGTTCGGAGGCAATTTATGCTGGTGCAAACTTCCGCAGGCCTGTTGAGCCCTACTAAATTTTTACTATGTTAAGTGCCAATGCGGCATCACTGGAGTTTTGCTTGGTGAGAATAAGTTTTGTAGTTGGAACGTGTTTCTGAGTGGAAACCCAGCGTTAATATCTCTAGTTTAGTTCATGTTTTGAGAGTAATAGCTGTTCATCGGTTGAAAAAAAGAAGTCTGGTGTTGTGGGTAGATTATACTTCTTTTTGATATGCCATGTAGCTCAACTATCTCATGCTGCTTTTACTTTTCTATAAGAAATGGTTTAAAACTTTAAATGGAAGGTGGTTTTGTATCTTGACTTGGCAATTCTCAAAATCTCTCTCTCTCTCTCTCTCTCTCTCTGGTTTAGACTTTGTTTAGAGCTGGAAAATCACAGAAATGAAACACAGGCTTGTGCTGTAATCAATTGTTCCGTGAATCCATGCGCATTGCTCAATTCAAAAACCACATTTAATTAAAATCATGGGTTATCATCCAATGTAAAAACTCAGAACAGGGCTGAGAATGCAGGTTCATCGCAAAAGGGTAGAACCTTATCGCAAATTTTCTTGTATTGAAATGAATAATCAGGTGTGATGTAAATACAATTTGTGTTGGTCTGACTTGCAACTAATTTACGCAAGTGGTGACACGTGGTGGTTGGCCAGCTGTTGTGGTTAACCAGCTATCTCATAACTAAATATTTATTCTAACACCCTCCCTCCAAGTTGGAGAATGAGAATACGTAATGCCCAACTCGAAAACGAGACCCGTTTAAGCCAAATAAGTTCTCAGGTTGTGACTACTTGGCTTCTACTAAGGATCGTAATAGTGTGCTGTTTCTTTGTCTTCATATCCCGTTGTGGAGCGTCAAGTAAGTGGACAACTAGCCCAATCGGAGTCACAAAACCCCCTAACCACAAAGTCATTGGTAAATGGGATGAAGATGCCATGATGAGGAGTGGACTTGAGCCGCTTGGTGGTGCTCTTCTCAAGGATCTTACATGAATTGACTGAATTGATTGACTGTAAAACTGATATTAGGCCTTGTGGTCATAAAGTAGACTTGTGGTCATAAAGTAGAGGAGGCGTCCCACCAAATGCTTGTATTGAACTGGATCTGAAAGGGCTGGACTGGGCATCATCATTGAAGTGTCGTTGTTTCATAGGAGTTGAACATGGTTTACATTTGTGCATCCTGATTTTATGCTGACTTAAGAAGATGCCTGAGTTTGAACGACCTACCTCAATGTCTAAAAAATATGTCAAGGGTCCAAGATCCTTAATGCTGAAACACTCATTGAGGTATGATTTAAGGGAGGCAATGCGGCTTGGGTCATTTCCTGTGATGATGAGGTCATCTACATACACAAGGACTGCAACAAAGGAGTCGTCTTGTTTGCTTGTAAAAGGTGAATAGTCTGTCACTGATTGGGTAAAACTGGCATACAAGAGCGTGTGAGTGAACTTTTGGAACCACATCCATGAGGCTTGTTTGAGGCCATATAAGGATTTTTGGAGTTTGCACATTCGTTGATCGCCATCTTTGGAAAATCCAAGAGGGATGAGCATGTAAACATCTTCTTGAAGTTCACCATGTAGAAATGCATTGTTTACATCGAGCTGGTGGAGTTCCCAACACTTTGCAATGCCCACTTCGAGTAAGCAACGAACAGTAACAATCTTTTCTATAGGTGTAAAGGTATCATGGTAGTCAAGGCCTTCTACTTGATTGTAACCTTTTGCCACCAAACTGACCTTGTATCTCTCAATGCCACCATCAGCTCTCAACTTGATCTTGTAGACCCATTTTGAACCTATAGCCTTCTTTCCAAGTGGTAAGTCTACAAGTGTCCATGTGTTGTTGTGCTCAAGTGCTTCGATTTCGGTTGCCATTTAGGATCATTTATAGCCTCAACAAAGGAAGATGGTTCTATTTCTGAGGAAATTGTAGCTAGACAAGCACCCGGGCTGGTGACCGCATTGGCAAGAGGTGGGAGTTGGTAGTCGTATGGGCCCAAGCGGGTGGAGACTTGCTGAGGTCTACACAGTCGTAGGCCAGGCTGGGTTGAATCTTGGTTATTTTCTTCAATGCCAGTTTTAGGTAAACTTCCATTGTCTGATATATAATCAAAAAACAAATGTTTGGGTGGTTCCACGTGTTTCCGGGCTTCTAGCATGTGTACTTGTGATTGGTGGTGGTGTTCCATGCTCGCCATGGACCAATGGGTCTGATGATATGGTCGAACCATGGTTGGACGCAGGCAATGGGATGACAGGAGTGGTTGATGTTGAGTGTGAAGTCTAAAATGGAAACTGATATTCATAAAATATGACATCTCGGGAGGTAAAGATATGCCCAGTAGCCATATCAAATACACATACCCTTTTTTACCAAAGGGGTACCCAACAAATGCATAGCGTGTTGGCCTGTTAGAAAATTTGTCTTGAGGTTTGGGTTGTACTTGTGCATAACAGAGACAATCAAACATTCACATATGGTTGTAATTTGGGGTCTGCTTCAATAGAACTTTTGATGGAGATTTTCCTGAAAGGAATGGTGTTGGAAACCGATTAATGATGTATGTGGCCGTGAGGAGGCATTCCCCCAGAAAGTGAAGCTTAGAAGCGTAGCGCACGGGCAACTTCCAACAGGTGATGGTGCTTGCGCTCTGCAACACCATTTTGCTGAGGGCTTGCTATGCAAGAGTGTTGTTGAGTTATGCTTTGTTCAGAAAAATAATTGAGATGGGGAATAAAGAAGAATTCCTTGCCATTATCTGATTGAATTTGTCGAACAGAGTGACCATATTGCCTTTTAATCATAGCACAAAAGGACATAAGATGACGAACTGCTTTAGATTTAAATTTCAAAAGAAAAGTCCAGGTACATCTTGTATGATCATCAACAATGGTAAGAAAGTAATGCGCGCCCATATGCGATGGAGTCTTGTACCCTCCCCATAGATCACAATGTATCAAGTCAAAGGGCTGATCTGCCCAAAATTGTTGAGCAGGAAATGGTAACTAGGATTGCTTGGCCCTGTGGCATGTATCGCAGCAGTTGTTTGAGGAAGGGTTGGTATTTCTAGAATGAGAGAAAGGCACTATGATGAGGCATGTCCAAGTCATCTTTGCCAAAAGTTCTTGGCCTTTGTTCGAAGTTGCAATAAATACAGTAGAACTATCTATAGCCCCGATAGTGGTAAAGTAATACAATCCATCCACAAGTCTACCCATCCCAATCACGGTCCGAGAGACAAGGTCCTAGAGAACACAGAACGAAGGAAAGAATAGAACAACACATTGCAGCTCCTTTGTAAGTTTGCTAACAGAGAGTAAGTTGCAATGGAATTTTGGGACATGTAAAAAATGATTAATGATCAGATTTGGTCCAAGATACACGGTTCCGTAATGGGATGCAATTGTGATGTTCCCATTTGGAAGATGAATTGGTTTGGATGAATGCAGTTGGGCGCAACTAGATAGAAATGATATAGTGGAAACCATATGGTTAGAGGCACCACTATCTAGAATCCATCCAACAGAGATAACGAAGTTCTTATCAGAAAGATTCACATGTGTAGTTAATTCATGGTTCTCTCTGCTCAAAAGGCCCATCAACTTGTTATATTGCTGGGTGGTTAGACCAGCAATAGGTGATTCATCATCATTGGTGTCTACATTAGCACATGTACTATGTTGTGGAATCTTGCCAGGCTTTACAGAGCGATTTGGCCAGCCTTTCTCCCATCCAGCGGGATAACCCACAAGCTTGTAACATTGCTCCCTTGTATGTCTAGTTTTCTTGCAATGATCACAAATATACTTAGAATGATTCTTAGAGGATTCTCGAGGCATGGATCTTGACATAGTATTTAGTACAGTAGCTTCAGGGTTGGGCGGTCCTCGAAGAGAGATTGACATCTATGGCATTCTTATCTAATCCCAAAATGTTTGATCAAATGATGTTGAAAGATTCATTTAAACCCATCAAGAATTGGTTGAGTTTTTATTTCTCACGGTCAGTATTGAAATGCTTCAAGGCTCCGCAAGTACACTGAGGGGATCGGTGAGGCTTTTGAGTTCATCCCATAATCCCTTGAGTTTTGTGAAATATCCTGCTACGGTTAAGTCTCCTTGTTGTAGCATTGCCAAGTCCCGTTTCAGCAGATGGAGTCGCGGGACGTTGCTTTGTGCAAATATTTCTTCCAACTCCTTCCAAATCTCTGAAGCCGAGTCAATGAAGGCTACACTTTCGTGAAGTTCTTTCGCCAGAGAGTTAAACAGCCAAGAAACCACCATTGAATTTCCTTTTTCCCAAGCATTCTCCTCTGGTGACGATTTTGGTGGCCGTGGTAAAGATCCATCCACAAACCGATATTTATTCTTGGCTCTCAGTGCATTCCGCATGGCCCGTTGCCATGTTGGATAATTGTCTCTAGTCAAAGGAAAAGAAACCAGAATGCTCCCTAGATTATCAGATGGATGTAGGTAGTACGAGGAAGTTCAGATTCCATGGCTGTCACTCCTGGAAATAGTGGCAGACACAACAGCAAGAAGGAAGAACTCTGTGATGAGAGAACAAGAGGAAAGAGAAAGAATCAGAGATAACTTCAACGGTGAAGGGCAGCAGCAGAACCAATCCCAGGCTTTAATACCATGTAAAAACTCGGAACAGGGACGGCTGAGAATGTAGGTTCACCGCAAATGTAAAACTCAGAACAGAGACGGCAGAGAACGTAGGTTCATCGCAAAAGGGTAGAACCTTATCGCCAACTTTCTTGTATTGAAATGAGTAATCAGGTGTGATATAAATACAATTTGTGTTGATCTAACGCAAGTGGTGACACGTGGTGGTTAACCAGCTGTCTCATGACTAAATATTTATTCTAACATCTAAAGCAGAGCTTAATGATAGCACCAATGCTGAAATGCCTGGGAAAGTAGTGACATGGGCCCGTAGTTGATGGGCTTTCGAGGAACTTGTTCTGACGGTTATACCAAGCCAGTGGCAACTGGGAAGGGAAATTACTAGCTTGGAATTACATCTGTGCCGATTTGAATGGAAACAAGTGGAGAAAAGTAGGAATGGAAAAATTAAATGGTTGGGTGGAATGGGAATCCCATTTTCTCCGATTCGAGGGAATGGCCATTTCCTCCCCTTTCTGGGTAATGAAATCCCATTCCAGATGATTTTACTTCCCATTCCGGTTTCTTTGTCAATCAAATAGACTATGGGGATAGATAATTTTCATTCCGATTTCTGTATGAATCAAATAGACTATGGGGATAGATCATTTCGGTTCTAATTCCTGTGGATTT